TGTCCGGCTTTAATTGTCTGGCGTTGAATACACCAATCGGTTGACCTTGCAAATCCTCCAACAAGTATGCGTTCTTCCTTATTATTTTATTTATTCTGTATGGTCCGTCGTAGACCAAATGTATTTTCTTTGTGAGACGTCTACTTGCGTCTGATCTTCTGTGAAGCCTGAGCCATACAAGTTGTCCAGGTATGTACTCCTCTGCATGACTTCTCTTCTTAAACTGCACCTTCCGTTTTTCGGCTGATTCTTCTAGATGCAATTTCGCCCAGTTAACTTTCTGTTCTCTTGTTAATCTTATATCTGGTTTCTTAGGCAATAATGTTGGATCAATGTCCAGATTCAGTTCTCCGTCAAAGTGCAATTCGTCTGGCGCATAACCAGTTGACGAATGCGTTGTTGCATTGATTACTGTCTCTGCTCTCTCTATTATACGATCCCATGCGTGTTGTTTATCGCTGGCGTAGGTACGGATAATCCTACCTATCTCTCGCATCACTCGCTCCACTGGATTGGATTGTGGATTATACGGTCTTCTTTGGATGAAACTCGTTATCCTCAGCGAATCTTTTCCACCGGTCTGATAGAAATTGTCCGGCGTTGTCCGTCAGGATCTCATTAGGTAATCCCACATTTGGGAAATGTTCGTTCTCTAGTTTATCCAGGATGGTATTTAAAATTTGATTAGGCATCGGGTATAACTTGGTGTATTTGGAAAATTGATCCATTACCACCATGACGTATCGGTTACCTCTCGCTGTTTGCGGTAACGGTCCGAATAAATCCAAGGATAATTTTCTCCCTGGTCCGTCAGGTAAATCATAGTACTGATCTCCTTCCGACGCTCTTGTATGGTACTTCGTGGCCTTGCATATATCGCAAGATGCCACCACATCTCTGGCAATTTTATCGAGGTTCTTCCCGTAGAAGTGTCTCCTCGCGAAACCTATCACCTTGTCGGTTCCGAAATGTAGTAGTAACTTGTGGACGCTCATTAACGTTCTCCACACTATTTGGTCTGGCAAATATATTATGTCGGCACCACCGTGACACTTGAGTCGTATCAAACCGTCACGTTCGTAGACATTCTCTGGATCCTTTTCCTGTAATCTACGACATTTGTCGTCCCTTCGCTGAGCTTCGCGAATTATGTTGGCCCATTCTGTGGTGTCGTTGCCATCGTTTGGATTTGTTATCAACGCTATGCGTTTCATGTCATTTTCATCGGTTTCGCTGCCACTGCTATATCTTGACAGTGCATCGGCAAGAGAATTCTCTTTGCCGGGTATATGCGTGATCTCCAGGTCGAATTCCTGCAAGAACGTGAACCATCTTGCTATGCGCGTATTATTCTGAATACACGTTCTCAAGAACTCTAAAGCCCTGTGATCTGTGTGTACTTTGACATATCTTCCTAACAGTAGGGTATGCCACTTTTTCAGAGCCCATACCAGTCCTAAACATTCGAGCTCGGTAATGGTGTAATTAAGCTCTGCTCCTTTGAGCGATCTGCTCGCGTATGCTATAGTTAGCTTTCTATCTGGCTGCTCTTCATCGTATTGATAAAGTCTGGCTCCTAATCCACTTCTTGCAGCGTCTACGTAAATTCCGAACTTTTTGTTCGGTTGCATAAGGAATAAGTTGGGAGCTTCAACGAAAGCTCGCTTGACATCGTTAAAAGCCGTTTGTTGTTCGGCCGACCATATGAATTTTACGTTCTTCTTTAATAATTTTTCCAACGGGTTTGTCATTCGCGACAAATTCTTAATGAATCGTCGATCCCAGTTGATTAGTCCAAGAAAAGCCTGTACTTGTTTTTTATTCTTCGGCTTCTGAAAATTGTGTATCGCCATTCGTGTTTCATGGTCGATCTCTGCCTGTATCTCGTTGAAAGTATGACCTAGGAACTTAATCTCACTCTGCAGAAATTCGCACTTTTCGCGGTTCAATCTGAATCCAACTTGTTGTAACTTGTCCATGACATATTTTACGTGCTGCAGGTGTTCTTCCAATGTGTTGGATGCTATCAAAATGTCATCTAGGTATACTATTAGGAATTCAGCGCAATCTCCACCAAGAGCTAGATGCATTGCTCTGGTGAAAGACGCTCCAGCTGTTTTGATTCCAAATGGCATACGTTTAAAAACGTAGCTCTGTTTGTTGAACAGGAAGCCTGTGTACTTCTGTGAATCCTGTTCCAAGGGTATTTGCCAAAACGCATTTGACACGTCGAGAGATGTGAAATACTTCTTACGACCTATTCTGCGGAATATATCCTCTATGGTCGGTGGTTGCGCGTGGTCATTCATTATCCTCTTGTTTATCTCGCGGGCGTCTAGGCACAGACGGATCGAACC